CCAGTTTCTTCTCTTTCGGGGTTAGGCCATTGAAAATTGGTCCTGGAGAGGACGGGGGGGGGGGAGCGAGCAGTCCACAGGGTCAGCATGCATGCTGATTTAAAATCACCAACAGGTGGTAACATTTTTTTGTGTATGCATACTATGACTGTAGAGTAGCGTTAGGTAGTGGCATTTTGGCGACAAAGAGAAGGGAGAGAGTTCGCGTGTGTATGGCAGGGTACAACGCCAGAGACAGCAGTAGCAGTGACTGCGAACGTCAACTGATGGGATGGTTCAATAACGTGACGCCAGACCCACAGAAAACCAGCGTGCTCACAGTCTTCAAACCGAAACACAATACCAGTATTTTTCCTCCCCCCAAAACAATACCATACCGCCGTAGGGTACACAACAAGCCACCAACCCCCTGCATCTATTCTCAAAGCCGAGCTCAACCAAAAAGTGCTGGGCGGACATCGACAAGCCCCCCCCGCCATCCACGCCGGAAAAACAAAACACATAGACCCTTGTACACAATGTCAAGACTCTTTGCTCTGTATCGTGCCGTAGCTTGCACGCTCGCCGACCCCCCCCCCCCTGACACTGAAATACATACGCATGAAATGGGGTTCTCAGAGTGCGGTCGTAGCTTGTACGCTCCTGACACTCTCCCGTCACATGAGACTTGAAATTCGCACGGGGCTGTTCTCAGACCACCTCTCGCCCCTCTCGGACCGCCTTCGCAGAACAAAAAGTATGAGGAAATATAACAGGCAGGGGAGGGGGTACGCAGACCCTATTTCCTAGCCCCAACCCTCTACCTAACCCAACTTCCCCGATTGCATGCTATATCCAACATGTTTACTCAAAACGAAAAAAACCTGCGGAGGTTGCTACTGGCCCCCCTCACCTCTACCAAGAAGTGGCCGGAGTAGTTGGCGAAGAGGTGGTAGGCTATGTTGAGCAGGGTGTGCAAGATCGCCACCAACCAGAACGACAGCGTCGACCGCCTCAAAGCCACCAAGTGCGACCGAACACGACGGTCCTTTGGCCCCGGGCCCGCTTCCGCTCCCGCCTCCTCCATGCCGACATGGTTGCCCGCGGACGTAGCCAATCTATCCGACACGGGAGAAACAAATACCAATCTCAGGAACAGGGTGGGGGGAGGCATGCGCGAAAACCAAGCAGAATATCCTCGCCAGGGATACTGTTGTAGATGTGAAAAAAAAAAATCCAAGCCTTCACCAAATGAACAAAAAAGGTGAAGGCTTTCCTTCGATGATGAGGCATGGTCTCGAACGGATACGTGCTCTGTAATTGTTTGTACGTTGTCTGAAAAACTAAATTATGCCAGCAACAGGAAGGGTGGGAGGTGTCTACGTACAGAGAACAACAATCTTGTCGACAAAACAAACAAACAAAAAAATGTCCGGACGTTTCTGACCCTAACGTAACTTGTGTTTGTGTCATCCCCTTGTATTCCGAACAACAACAACAACAACAACAACAACAACCTTTCGCGTGAAAAACTCTTACAGTAGCTCCCACCGAACGAACCAAATTCAAGCTTAAGGGTCTCTCTCTCACCTGACGTAGACAAGCCCCGCCAATAGGGAGAGCACCTGCCACAGTGCCACGTACCAGAGCGCCCCCATGTACCCCCACCTCTCAGCGACCGGGGCCACCGACGCCTTTGCCAGAGTCTTGGACACGCCCGCCATGGCGATCGTGATACCCTGGTTAATTGTTTCCAAGAGAGAGAGAGAGGGGGCGGGGGGAGGGGGAGCGCGCGAGAGAGAGAGGCAGAGAGAGAGAGATGATGGGACGGAAAGCGTACCACAGGAGGGTTCAACTACTGGAAAGGCACGCTTCCGCACCCTTGTGTGATTGAATCTTCATCCAAATTGGCGCTAGGAACTCCCTTCCAAGACAACACTCCGATATGTACGACGACCTCGACATGTGCAACGACTCGTCGGAACAAACACACGCACGACACCCAAAAGACCAGGACAAACCAGGCGCGCCTCCGGAGTGGGCTCATCAGAGCATAGTAGTAGTAGTGTCATCAAAGCGCGATGCAACATGAAAGTAGCGCACGTGTTGGTGTAAATCAGCCGCCAGCTGTCATCAGTGACCTTTCCCAAGCTCACACAGCGAACGTGTTATGAGTCCACCGAACCTCAACTATCCAGGAAGAATTTTTTCACAAATTTGTGTACAGTCTCAACACGATGGGGGGGGGGTTCGTTTCTCTCACCATCCCGAACGATAGCTCTTTCGCAAGGAAAAACTTGGAGACGACGGCCCGCATCGCCACCACAACGACGCCAGAACCTAACCCGTATACCGCCTCCCCGAAAACGGCCATCCAGAAGTTGCCGCAGCTCATCGCCAGCGTGAAGATGACGTGTCCTGTGTTTGGTCAAAAGCGAAACAAGTGGCAGCAGCAGCAGCAGCAGCAGCAGCAGCAGCAGCAGCAGCAGCAGCAAGAGGTGAACATGAGAACCAGCGACAGCTGTACGAAAGTCGCCGCAAAAACAGCAGCGGCAACAAGGTGAACGTGAGCGCCAGCCACGGTTGCACGAAAGCGGCAGCAGTAGCAGCAGCGGCGGAGCTGGCACAAAAGAGAACGCGGTAAAGCTTGTAGGAATCACCACATCCGATGGTTGAACGAACGTAGCAGCAGTAGCAGCAGCGGCAGCATTAGCAGCGGCGGCGGCGGTGCCACAAAAGAGAGAACGGTAACGGTGAGGCATGCGGGCATCGTCAGCCTACTACACCACCAGCTCGCCCTGCATTGTGATGAACGACGCACCTATGAGCTCGACGCTGAGGAACATGATGATGCCTTGCTTGTGGCCCTTGGAGTCGAGGAACAGTCCCCCGAAGAAGGGCATGAAGAGGTTGGGTATCCATATCGCGGACATCACCGTCCCGTACTTGGTCTCGTTGAAGTGTAGCTTGGGATCCTGCTGCGGCAAAGCGAGAGAGGGGGGCACCGCAGTTGGGAGGTGGGTAGGTTAGGGTCCTGCTCGGGCAAAGCGAGAGAGGGGGGAACCGCAGTTGGGAGGTGGGTAGGTTAGGGTCTTGCTCGGGCAAAGCGAGAGAGGGGGGAACCGCAGTTGGGGGGTGGGTAGGTTAGGGTCCTGCTCAGGCAAAGCGAGAGAGGGGGGCACCGCAGTTGGGGGGTGGGTAGGTTAGGGTCCTGCTCAGGCAAAGCGAGAGAGGGGGGCACCGCAGTTGGGGGGTGGGTAGGTTAGGGTACTGCTCGGGCAGAGTGAGAGAGGGGGGCGCCGCAGTTTGGAGGTGGGTAGGTTAGGGTCCTGCTCTGGCAAAGGGAGAAAGAGGGGGCACGGCAGTTGGGGGGTGGGTAGGTTAGGGTACTGCTCTGGCAAAGCGAGAGAGGGGGGCACCGCAGTTGGGGGGTGGGTAGGTTAGGGTACTGCTCTGGCAAAGGGAGAGAGGGGGGCACCGCAGTTGGGGGGTGAAGAACAGCGGAGAGAGAGACGACGACTACGACGGTTGTCTTTTGATCCTTCCGAAGTCGGGCATTACATCATCGTCCCAAAGATGAAACGCACGAGTATGTATGAGAGCCGTCGTCTAATCGGCCGTCCAAGCGGCGTGATTTCGTCTGCGGTGGGAACACACCAAGGAGGGAAAGGCTCGGACCCATCCATCTTGAGCGGAATAACGCGGCACCTGTCTCAATATCATACCTCCAGAAGTGTATCTTCAGTGGAATAGCGTGGCATCCGTCTACATACAATATCTCCAGAATCATGTCTTACGTGGAACAGCGCGGCATCTGTCTCAACATCATGCCTCCAGAAATACATCTTACACGGAAAATAGCAGCATCTGTCTCAATATCATACCTCCAGAAATACATCTTACGCCGAATAGCGCGGCATCTGTCTCAATTTCATACCTCCAGAAAGTACACCTCGAGGGAGCTGAAGTAGTTCTTCACGAAATGCGCCCCGAAGGGCAGCAGGGTGATCTGAAACCGACCAACAGGCCGAGGCGGAACATAGCACACCCCGCCAACGGGAGGGGGGGGCGGGGGGGGGGGGACATGGTATTTGTTGAGTACTAATGCTGTCGTGTCAACACTCTCGCCATCACAAACATCACCGACAACAGCAGTAGCAACAGTGACATCAACAACAATAACAACAACAACAACAACAACAACAGAGAACGTCGGTCAAGGGGCAACAGCCCTCATCCGAGAACCCTGACACCCTCACCAGCAACAGCATCCCGAAGCGGATAAACCTGGGCGACCTGTCTCTGAAGGTCAGCTCGAAGTCCACCCAGCCGGCACACAGTATGTTGCTGCTGCTTC